TTTCCCGCGCTAGAAATTCCAGCGACAACCCCGACTCCAAGTGCAACCTTCTGTAGCTTGTCCTCCGTTGGAACTTTTAAAGCTGATTTTGGTGAATTCTCAACGCCGAGGAAGGAATTGGGAGGTCCGTGAGTCCATTGGTGAACTTCACCGTCATCTGTTAGAGCTATAAAGTTCTGACCACAGCAAGCAATATCCACAACCTGTTACTGAAATGTTACTACACAAAGATTTATAAAAACAAAACCAGAAACCTTTCGGTTGACTAGACTGCCAAGAGCAGGTTGACATACAGAAAATGTTGCATTGCCGGTGCCGGGGAAATAACCACGACCCCAAGTCCAGGCCCGACCATCATCAGTCAGAATAATAGCGTGATATGCACTTCCACACTAAAATTATCACGATAAGAAGACAACTAAATAAACGCATAGACTACCTGGATTTTCAAAGGCCTTCCCGAAAATCCTGTGATGTGGTTCACTTCTTCCATGAAGTCCTTCGTTGCAGATCTAATATAAACGCGATCGGTGTCCATAATGTACCTGCATTGCAACTATTTTAAGCGTGCATAACTTGAAGCCACATGTACCCGATGAATGGAGGCTCGTCAAATGCGTCAACAGTTCCAACAGCCACTTGAGAAATCCGGCCCAAATTGTTCACAGTCGTGTCATTCAATTTCAATAAATCTTCAAGGCTTGGATATTGGAATTCCTCCAACAAAGAATAAGTATGAACCTTCAGGAGGCAATATGTCAGATAAAGAACAGCAATCTAATACATACAGGTTCATGAGGCTGAGAACCATGAAGAACGTACTCATTTCCATTATAAGACACCGCAGCTAGGAAAAAAGGATCTGGAACCTGTAGAGTGCGTTAAAAATGTTGCCGAAAAGCTTTGACAATTCACCTGGTCTTCTTGATGAGAAGAGTAACCTGCCGATGATCTCTCCAACTCTGGTCCAGCAATGTCAACCAAAACTATAGTTTTATCATCCAGACTGGAAATATGTTCCCATGCATCGCAACGCTCAGTAATGTTTCCATGCTTGTTTCGCCAAACAAAAACCTGTCCCGCAGCTGTTAACACAGCAAGATGATGCTGGCTTGCCTGAAATTCTTTATATGTATTAGACGTAAACGATGAAATTGAACTACTTACGGCTAAATGAACAATGGGAGACTTTGTTGGCAGAGTCCCCATAGCTTTCAGATCGGGACACTTAGCTTTGTCGAAAGCGACAACTTCGCCCCATGCAAAATACTCCAGTTTTTCAGTGTTATTTTCCAAGAAACGGGCTCTTTCAAACGCTGGATGCAATGCGCCTGGATACTTGACTTGAGAGCTTGTCAGAGGCATCTCATCCAGCTTTTTTCCTCCCCTGTACAATATGGTAATATCAAGGGAAGGACTAAGCAGCGAACTAACGTAGGTACCTCCTTGGAGTATGTTCATTCACCTCTGTGTCATCTACGGATCTGTTGCTGGACGGATTGCTGGACTGTTTGGATTCTGTTTCAACGTGGCCATTGCTGACAAGCAATTTGCCGTCGTTGGAAACTAATGTAGCCTTTAACTCCTTCCACTCAAGCTCCTCCGAGTCACCATCCTCATATACAACCTGTGGCAGACATAATAAAAAAATAAATTAGGAGGAGATTGACTTAGAGAGAAACACGCACCTTGTAAAACTTTGCTTCCGGATCGAACTCAATGACTTTGCCTATATAATTTCTTCCTTTAAAAACTTTCCTGGTTTCTCTTCCGATCAAGCTGAAGCCGTTCTCATTCCCCGAGGAGCTTTTTGATCTTACTACTCTCCGGCTAACGGATTCAGTAGCAGCTTCCTCGGAGGCAGCCTGTATACTTTCAGTAGACACGCTCCCTCTTTCAGCTTGCAAGCTTTCCGCCTTTCGTTTCTTTCCCGATCTTTTGGATCTCGGTGTCTTCTTGATATCCCTATCCCAATCATCGTCTTCAGAAGTTCCTGAAGACGAGGAGAACATACTGAGCTCCTCTACCAGCTCTAGATATTCTTCGTCCGGATCTCTCATCCGCTTAGCCTGACTATCAAAACATGTCATAAGCTCAAAAACCAAAGGTTTCTTACGCTTTTTTATCTCCTCCGGACCGTGATCGTTTCTTTGTCATTGATTCCATTCTTTTTTCATATTGAATCAATAAAGGTTCCAGCTCCCACCACCAAAGTTCCTCCTGGTCGCCATCTTCATATTCAACCTATCACATTTCACAACAGCCAAATGGGCATTATTGCAGACAGTTTAGATGAGACTCATACCTTGTACCACTGTCTTTCAGGATCAAAGCCAATGACGTTCCCAATATAGACCTTTCTTCCAAACTTCTTAGCCAACTTATTTCCCTTCAAGGCATTTCCTTCTCCATATTTGCTTCTCTGCAGCTAAAATCTGCTTTAAGAATCGAAGAAACTCAGTGATAAATCGAAGAACCTGTTGTTCTTGGTCTTCTCCGGGGAATGAAGATGGTTGTTCTTCACAAAGCACGCAGTTAGAAAACTTATCAAAGCTAAGCTAAGGAACGATCGATCACGTACCACCAGCAGGAGCTGGAGTAGCAGCATCACCTCCTTGGAAGTTCCCAATCATCTGCACGACAACCGCTGGCTCACGATCAATCCCCGAGACCACAGAGCCTCCACCACTCCCGTCGGCGATGGGAACATCCAGCAGCATATTAGCCGCCAGCGACGTATGCGTGTCCGAGGCGATCGATTTCTCTAGCTCCTGCCGCAATTCGTGCAAATCCTTTTCCAAGACTGGCTCCTGCTGATGCTCCATCGCGACCCTTGCCGATCTATCCAGCCATCGCAAGACGCTGCGCAAGAATGCGGTGTCCAGACCTGGATCTTTCTTGAATGTAGGCGCCCTAGCACCGATCTGGAAGCGATTCACGAGGACGCCGTGCCAAGAAGCTCACCGAAGATGAAATCTACCATGGCGCTGTGCTCCAGTCGCCGAGGAGTCGATCTTTCGAGACGAAATCGCCAGCCCTCTCCCTCCCTCCAAAATCCCTGCTAGGGTCATTCGTAATGCCAAAGGTTTAGGGTTTTGATGCTCCGGGGCGGAGAATGTGGAGCACTGTCTCACGATCACGACAAGGTATACGCAGATTCTAGCTCTTTGTGCCGATTTCGTGATGGATTCGCATCACAGGATCGATCAGATTGGCCTGGAGAGGAATTTTTTCTCGAGAATCCAGAGGTATAACTTGATATGTTCATGGCTATTGTTCTTAATAGCAGGCTTCTTACAGGAAAAAACGAGCATGTATCCATTTTCGATCCAAGAAGAGGTATGATCTTTGGAAGTTTCGATTGTGTTTATGGTTCTAAGTTCTCACAGGGAAAAGCGAGATCGTTACGAACTCCATCGCCATATCTTCGTTCTCGTCAGCGAGAGAGCAGGGAAAACGATTCTTCTGTCGAACTTTTGTGACAAGTTCGTGCATGGAGGCTCAAGCAAGGTGGACGAACCCACAAACTGGCGAGTACGTTGGATTGAATCTAAACGAGAACGAGAAGAAAAGGCGAGCGATCGAGAATGCGAAGCTCCTCCGTGAGAGAGGAGCGTTTAGGCAGCACAACATGACCCCGGAAGCAAAGCTTATGTGGAGGCTCGAATTGGTACTTCCATTTGTTTTCTATGATCTCAGGTGTTCTAACTTCTTTTCTTTTTCTTCTTCACCTTGCAGACTAGACGAAAGCTTGCTCTCCAAAAGCAGCGGCTCGAGAGCCTGAAACTTCCACCGGACGAGGAGTCCGAGCACGATCCAGAAATACTCACGCCAGAGCAGCTCTACTCGCTCAAGAAGCTCGCAAACATGAACAGGAACTACGTTCCGGTTGGAGTGCGAGGGATTTTTGGTGGAACCATCGAAAACATCCACCAGCACTGGAAGTTCCACGAGACGTGCCAGATCGACCTCCATATGTTCCACAAGAGCAAGATCAAAGACATGGCGGCCGAGCTGGCGAGACTGAGCGGAGGCATCGTTGTGGACATCATAGGCACCACTGTCTACATGTACCGAGGCAGGAACTACAGGCAGCCAAACGAGCTAATTCCGGAGAACCAGCTCTCCAAGAGAAATGTAAGTAGCTCTCACTCTTTCTCTCAAGTTCTCCGATTCTTTCACGCTAGATCAACTCCACCATTTTGCTTGATCGTTCTTCTTGTCACTCAACATCTTTACCTTCTTTTGTTTTCTCTAAGTCCTCTAGCTGTTTTGCTAGATCATCATCTTTTGGTTCTACCAAGTTTCTCTAGATCACACTGAAACACACCACCGTTTTGCTTGATCGTTCTTCTTGTCTCATGTTCTTTATCTCTTGATCTCTGAGTCCTCCAGAGATCATCGCCTTTTGGTTCTACCAAGTTTCTCTAGATCACACTGAAACATTGCTGTGTTTTTTCCTTCCAGGCTTTGTACAGGGCTAGATACAATCAAAGCAAAGAAGCTCTGGAAGCTCATATGAGCAGACTGGCTGCTCGACTGGAGAAGATGCGCCAAGAGTCGGATGTGGCTGGACTGGTGGAAAAGATCGCGTTTGTGGCGCCTCCACTCAAGCACAAGAAGAGAGAACCTCCGCGGCCAAAGTCCAATCCAGCCGAGTACCAAGACTTCACCGAGGACGAGTTTGGAGGCAAGGACGACAAAACCGACACGGACGATAACTTAGTGGGAGGAGTTGTTTCATCCGACGAGTTTGAGAGCGATGGTGAATTTCCATGAAGAGAAGAGTTAAAGAAAGTAAAAAGCCGCAAACGTCTATGTGGTAAGTTAAAATGGGTTAAAGCGGTATCGGCTGTAGTGAAAAAAATTCCAAGGTTTCACACCATCCATTGTCGTCTAGTCCGGTCAGGATACCTGGCTTTCACCCAGGCGACCCGGGTTCAAATCCCGGCAATGGAATTGCCTTTTTATTAGTCCATATAGTTTTAAGGTTTATTCTGTTTTGATTCCTTGAATTTCTAGGGCTTGAGGAGAGGAAGGATGCCGCAGCGCCACTCCAAGAACAACAACGATCTCGCATTCTTCACATACGATGAGCGGCGCAAGCTTGGCTATGGCACGCAGAAGGAGCGGCTGGGCAAGGATTCGATCAAGCCATTCGATGCCTGCTGCATTTGCCTTAAGCGCCTCACCGATCCGCAGTGCTGCCAAAAGGGCCATCTCTTCTGCAAGGAGTGCATTCTCGAGTCCCTGCTAGCTCAGAAGAAGGACATCAAGAGGTATGGGTTTTCCTTGATTTGTGCTTGGGGAAAGGATAGATTTTGCAACGCCTTTGTGGGCGCTATAGGAAGATCGCGTTGTTCGCGACGCAGCAGAAGAAGGATCAAGAGGACGAGCTGGAGCGGCGAAATCTCGAGAAGGAGCGCGCGCTCGAGGCATTCGATCGCCAGAACAACAGCGCGGTGCCTCACCACGACAAGAACCACGACTTTGGCGACGCAAAGGCTGGATTCCAGGGAGCCAACAGCGTCAAAGTCACGTCTTACGAAGAGGAGGCGCTGAAAAGCATGAAAGCTTTCTGGCTTCCATCGGCGACTCCAGAGGCCGCCGAGAGAATCGACGCTCCATCGACTGATACGATCTGTCCGGAAGGGAAGGAGAAGCTCAAGCTCAAGCAGCTCTTCACGATTTCTTTCAGCGAGATCGTCGACCCTGAAGGGAAGGACACGGAAGAGAACCGGTATATGTGTCCTTCGTGTTCCACCACGCTGACGAACAGGACGACGCTGGTGGTGATCAATAGCTGCGGTCACGTCCTGTGTAAGAAGTGTGCCGAGCAGTTCATCATCCCGGAGAAGGCTTGCTCGGTGTGTAACCGGCCGTGCAAGGCCAAGAACATGGTGACGCTGGAGAAAGGTGGCACTGGTTTCGCTGGTCACGATGAAAATCTGGAAGCCAAGACGTTCAAGCATGTTGGTAGTGGCACCGGCATGGGGCTCTCGAGACCAGCTCGCGTCTAGCTGAAGTTTCGAAGTTAAAAACAAGAACAATCGGGAAGAACAAGTGTACCTTCTGACGAGACAAGCAAAACTATCGCGTTGATGTGATCTATCGCAGCACGGGATCAATCAAAGGATAGAAAGAAGGAGAAAAATGTACCATTTGATTATGAACACGATCAGTGACTTCTCCGGATGTGATCTCGGCCTTCCTCTTTCCTGTAGAGGAAAAACTGGTTGAGCCTTTGGTACACCAGCTTTGCTGTGTGGTTCGTGGTCTTCTTGTAGATTTTGTAGATCAGCGTGTCTTTGCGTTTCTTGATCTCCTCCACTGCCAAAAGTTTCACTTTTAGGAACCGGAATTTGATTTGACAACGCAGAACCTTGTTTGATCCTGTCCTCCCAGTAGCAATTCCGTTGCAAAGTTCCCAGTATCGGAACCTCGGAGTTGAGCACGTCTTGGAGCAAAGGATAAAACTTTGGAGACATTAGTTCCTTCACTCCCACTTCGTCCACGACAAAGAGCTCGGTCTCGTAGTGTAGCTGCACACACACACACAAGACACAAGAAAAAAAAAATCAAACTTTGCTCAATCGCGCTCGATTCAGTAAACATACTTTTAACTCCGGTAAAGCGATGGATTCGAAAGCTCCAATGTCGATCCTATGCTTTCCCAGAAATGGCGGAGTCCGTGTGGCGGACCCCCTAAGTAAGAAAAAGAATGAACAAAAAACGCGTTTCCATGTCAAAAAAGAGAATGAAAATCCTCTCACACGGAATGGGATATGTTGACGTGAAGATCTTGCTGGGGCCATTCACCGAGACCGATTCCACGCCAATGCTCTCGCCCCTGCGAAGCAATGGTTCTTCCAGGACAAAAGAACGCACGGTCAGAGCTACAGCATTTATAAAGCGCCAGACAAATAGTTCCTACTCTGGTAGAAGCCCTGGACTCGCAGCCTGGGGTGATTCTTCCTGAGCTTCTCAAGGATAGACGCGATCGCGGTAGACTTGCCCGTGCCCTGGAGCAGTGATTTAGCCAGTCGATCGACAATGCGATCGATCCACATACCGGATAGCCGAGCATGAAGAAGACGCGCTTGGGGATTTTGAGCTTCTTCACTCCAATCGGCCGCGGCGACAGGACGTGGCCCTTCTTGGAGACGAGGTAAGGGAGATCAAGCCGGAGCCCCATCGCGCCAAGAACCCTAGGAAAAAAACCGCGGCATTTTTGCGTGGGCTAGGGTTTTATCGCTATCTCGCGCGATCATCTGCTAGCTGCGGCTCGGGAGAGGAAGAGATTTCGATCTTGGAAGCGTCACGCATCGCAACGGGGATCGGGGTAATTGGGGCTTGGATTTCTAGTCAATGCGAGGAGCAGCGCCACGATGATTGGAATCGAGGTCATCCCCATCAGCACGCTCTTGACGCTCATCACCACACAGGTGCTGGAGATTGCCATCGCCGCCAAGGATGTCCTGGTGGAGAAGGAGAGCTTCCAGAAGCTTTCGCGCTACCTCCACGACATCGAGCCCGTGCTCGCGGAGCTCAAGGAGCGCTGCTTCAAGGATCTCACGGCAGCCAACCAGGCGCTCCAGTCGCTCAAGACCGACCTGGATCGAGCGCACACGCTGATAAGCGATTGCACGGACAAGTCCAAGTTCTACTTGCTGCTTCATTGCCGCTCCATCGTCAAGGACGCACAGGTGGTGACTCGCGATATCGGCAAGGATCTGGAGCTCTTGTCCCTGGCCGGGACGGAGCTCTCGCTTGATATCCGGGACAACCTCTTGAGAGTCAAGAACCAGTTCTTGAGCGCTGAGTTCCAGGCGTCCGAGACAAAGCTACAGATACTCAGCAAGCTCGAGGAGGGGATCCGGGATCACAGGACGGACCAGGGCTTCGCCAACGATCTTATCGTCGCCATCGCCATGGCCGTGGGGGTTCCAGTGGAGCCATCCGAGATCAACAAGGAGCTCTCGAGCTTTAAAAGAGAGAAGGAGCTGCTGGCTGAGCGAAAGCAAATGCAGGAGCAGGCTTTCATGGAGCAAGTGATCGATCTTCTGTCCAAGGCCGACGCTGCCTACACGTCAGATGTTCTAAGACAGCGGTACAAGGAGGCGTCCGAGCACATTGGAATCACTGAGCCGGTTGATCCACTGAGCTCCTTCATCTGTCCGCTCGCGCGTGAGGTTATGATCGATCCAGTGACTGCTTCGAGCAACCGGACTTACGAGCGAAGTGAGATCGAAAGGTGGTTTGCGAGCGGCCACACGTCGGACCCTTTCACTCATATGGAACTTACGGATTTCACGCTGAGGCCCAACACTTCGCTGAGGAAGGCTATCCAGGAGTGGACGGATCAGAACTACTGCATACGGATTCGTCGAGCGAAGCATTTTCTGCAAAAGAGGGACGTTGCACTGGCGCAGGATGCTCTGGATGATTTGTGCAAGCTGTGCGAGGAGAGCAACACGAACACGGAGTGGATCGCCGCAGAGAATGTTATTCCGGAGATCATTGAGGTGATGAAGCTGCGTGACAAGGAGGTCAATAGGAGAGCTCTCACAGCTCTGCGGATTCTCGTGCACAACAATTTTAGAAACAGAGTACGTATCTTCGTCTCTTCTTTCTTTCTACTTCATGTATAAGTTATGCTTGCGCTTTTTCTACTCCAGGATGAAGTTGTCCAGGTTGGCGGACTAGAACAAGTTGTTCGATGCGTCGGGAAGAGTACGCTAAGCAAGCTGGCGCTGTCGGTATTGCTGGAGCTTCTGCAAGGGGATGAAAGATCTGCTTGCGAGAAGCTCTGCCAAGAAAAGAGGGCCCTCTTATCTCTCGTGATGCGCCACAATGAGAACGAGCCGACAGCGAAACGTGTCCTTGAGAAGCTTTGCAGCAGCGATGAGAACATTGTGCAACTGGCATCCATGAGCTACTTGGATCCACTGATATCGTCCTTACATGAAGGCACGTCATTTCTTTTCCTCGTTTTGGTTTCCTAACCTTGCCAGTGTCTTGTACAGGTAGTGAGGAATCGAAGTGGGCTATGGCTCGAGCCCTTGGGAACCTCCAGTCTCTGTCGGATCAAAACAAGCTCATGCTTGGAGAGAAAGGAGTCATCGGTCCTCTCTTCCAGATGATGATAAGCGCTAAACTCGAAGCAAAAGCTGCTGCGTTGGAGGCGTTGAGGAATCTGTCGTCAAACTCTCAGAACCAACGAAGCATGGCACAAGCAGGTGCATTTCCCGTTCTCATGGACAATCTGACGTCTCCCAGGCTCCCTCAGACTTGCAAAGAAGCTGCAGCAATAACTCTCAAGAATATAGCGCAAGGAAATACGGACGCATCTCTCACTGACCAGGATGGGCACGCAGTGAACGTAAAACAGGCCGTCGAAACGCTCATCGGTCTCATGGAAAGCTCCTCGCAGGGCTTGATTCTTCGGGCACCTATTCTCCTGGTACTTCATGGACTGGCACAATCAAAAGACGGGGAACTGGTACAGGAAGTGATAAAGGAACAGCAAGGAGTAGCTTTTCTGGTTGGGCTGCTCGATGGAGCCGAGAGAGAAGTCCGTGACTCGGCTGTGTTCCTGCTTCGCTCCATGTCGGAAGGAGCTGGAGGGGACATTTTCGACTGCCTGTACACCGAGAAGAAGCTGGAACACTTCGTTAACTTGATCGGCAACTGTTCTTCCGCAGACATCCGATCAGATCTTTTAATGGTACTGGCGAGCTTCCCGAGCAACAAGCAAACCATGGAGACACTGATGGAGGCTGGAGCTGTGACCACGGTGCTGGCCCAGGTGAAAGGCAACAGCTCCAAAGTCACTGAGAGTGCTCTCGCTGCGCTCGAGAGGTTTACGGAGCCAACTAACGTAGAGCTCCAAAGGACTTTGGTGGACTCGGGGATCCATTCAATCCTGGTGACGATCCTCAACTCGGGAACCACAACAGGGAAGGCAAGAGCAGCCCGAGCCCTGAGGAACTTCTCCGTGACCACGCTAGACTTGTGCCATCCGCCAACGAGCACAGGATGGCTTTGTTTCCGGCCGACAGTGCCAACGATTTGCAGGGTCCACACAGGAGTATGCAGCGTCAAGACCACGTTTTGCATCGTGGAAGCCAAGGCGGTTCCGGGTCTGGTTGCTCTACTGGACGAGCCAAGCAGCGTTGCCGCCGAAGCAGCAGTAGAGGCTTTCTTCACTTTCGTCTCCAGCGAAGAAACTAGAGAAGGCGGGGCCTGGTTTCTTCACGAAGCAAACGCAATCCTCAAATCACTGGGCTTGCTCGCTCACGGGACAGCCACGGCCAAGGAGCGCACGGTCGATCTCCTGGCGTGCCTCTTCAAACTAAAGAATATGAGAGAAACTTATTGCGGGCGAGCAAAGCTCCCTCTGGTGGAACTGGCACAGCACGGATCGGTCACTGTGAAGAAGAAAGCTGGCAAAGTTCTGGCGCAGTTGTCAATGATCCAGGAGGTCTCCAGCTATTTTTAAAAGGTAAGCTAAAGTTCTATCATTTCTTTCTCGTTGGCCTTCTAACCAAGATCAATCAGGAAACGGTGTCTCTATTATGTTGTATAAACATAGAGCCCGTGCTATCGTACTACAACACGATCATCGTCTCTGGCAAGTTGTCCATGATTAATCTCTTCTGTCACCAATCGATTACTGAGTTCAGCTCTCAAGAGTAACTATTGTGAAGTCTAAAGATCTTGTGAAAAGGATTTTACCTTTTCATCATATATATATATATACATATCCATCCTTGGGTTTCAGTGAGAGTTATAATGGATATCTTGTTTGACTTTGGGTGATACTCTTCCCAAGTAGAACGAGTAGTGACTGTAGCATACGTTGGGAAACTCTGGCCTTCTAGCTCTTGTCTTCTAGCAAAAACAAAAGAAAAGCCAGTGTATTAGTTACAAATAGCACAACTCAACAAGAACCTCTATCTTCTCGAGTACTTATTGAACTGGAAGAGAGTAACTACTTTCTCACCTCAGAAACATTCCAAATTCTTAACGTTCCATTGATATAAAATACATAAAACAGATTATGAAGTGGTATTACAGAGCTTTCTTCAAAAAATATTTGGATGTGTTTGCATATTCCAAAGAAGTTAAGATCAAATTTTGATCTTTTAATGTTTGTGGACTCCAACAACAGCATTTTAGAAAGCTAAAGGACCTTTATGTTTCTAAAACTAGTGTTTTCACTCAAAGCATTGAGCCAAAGAAAAACAGCAAGGTGTACGAGGAGTTCCATCTTCTCCAAAATTACCCAATGACTTCACTCAGCAACATTAAAATTCTAGGAATATAATAGATATAAAGGTAGAAATTAACTGATGTTTAATAAAACTCCCTTTACCCAAAGTTAGCTTTAAACACATGCCAAAGGTGTACAAAGAGCTCTATCTTCATTAGAAGTACCCATTGTTTGGCTCTTCCTCCTGACAGAGTGGCCTCCAGTTTGGAAGTGTGGAAGTTGACAACATACCTAAAAGAGCAACACCTGATTTATACAAAGTGCAATCATAGTGAATGTGGCAATTTCAATTACTTCAATAATGACAACATCAGCTAACCAAGGTACTATTGTAGTTAATGCAAGAAAAAATTCACCTATAGTGGAAAAACAAAACTCATGTATATGAAGCAACCAAGATTAAACCACTCAGGAAGACATAGCATATTAGGACAAGAAGCTCAAACATGCTCCACTTGAAGATTACATGAGTAAAGGGTTTCACTTCATTTTGTAGTGAAGCGAAACAGAATGGTCAATAGACCAATAGAGCTGGGGCAGTGATTCACGTGTAGGATGTGGAAGATCTCTATATCAATGGTTTAATATCATAGCATTGCTTGAGGAGAATGAAGTCGCACACAAAAAGGAACACACCCCTATTATGATCTTTAAAATGGCAGAAATACCAGTGAATGACAAAGAGATAATTGAAATTCTGTTGTCAAATCTGAAGGCTATGGATGATGAGGAGATGCTAGATCTCATATTTGAGGAAGTTTTGGAGCAGCTAGAACAAGGAGGACTTGGCAGAAATTCAAATGAGTAACAATGAAATGAGTTAAATTCTCCAGAATGTGGACAATGAAGATTTTGTGTTTGAGAAGGATTCTCAGGAGGAGCAGCCAGAGGCAATAGAGGTTTTATAAGCATTATCTTTAAACTGAAAAAGAGAAGTGAAAGGAAAAAATAATAATGTTCTATTTATCTATCTATATGTTGTTTATGGTCTAGCAGTGCAGCATAAATGCAAAAATGAAAGTGTTTTATGAGTTGTTGAAATCTTGCTCCAAGAGTCATACTCGCCAATTTGAGAAATCTAGATGTGGTGATATTTTCAATTTCAAATGAAATCACTTTGGTAGTTTTGCTTGTTGATCAAATCAAAATTCAAAACAATCAAGCCATCACAAGTAGTATAGAATAATAAAAGAAGCAAAATCAACACAGTACATCAAGTGCTTGGCTTTTTTTTCTGCATCTTTTCTCCAAACTTTCAAAGTCACAACCTCATATAATGTTACCATTGAATGAAACACGTTAACCTTTGTGCATGTAAATTCTGCATGTATGGAAGTTGTAAGATCGCTAGCTAGCCTGGAGAATGCATGAGTACCTAAAACGTTGGAGGCCTCAAAGAAAGCTTCAAATCGTGGAAAAGACATATCCTGACCTTGTGCTTTTTACAATGTTAAAATTGAAATGAATGGTTCTAGTTGGGCTTTAAAACATGTAATAATAAACTAAAAAGTGATGTGAAGTGCAGAGGATTGTAGAATTACCCAGATACTTGATTTTGCCACGGGTTCCTCACAGGCCTCAGAGATGGTTGATACACCACTGCTTCACTATAATGATCCAGCGCAGCCAACCGACTCCAACTACTTGTGTGCAAGTCATATACAACAACAACTGACGACATTGCTGGACATCTCTCCGAGAAGCATACAAGGTTGGCATCTGCACTCGTTACCACTTCTAACAATTGTACCTTGAGCCGAGGATATTGACTACAAATGGCCACAGTCACTGCAGAGACAGTAACCAAGCTGCCATCCTCGTCAACTCTCCAGATACCAAATCCATCCACTCCACAACACACGTCTTTGACACTTCCTGCATACACCCACCCGCTTGCAAAGTATCGCTGCCCATCCCACTCCCATAGCCTCGATGTGCACACGCCTGACCGCGGCAAAACGCAGCACGTATGCTTGACACCTTCGAGGCCTGTTGTGAACCTGAGGCTGCGCACCACACTCCCGATGCTCCACTCGCAGTGACGAATGTCATACATGCCCAAGGTGGTGAGGTCGTAGTATAAGGCGTCCATGTCTGGGAATGTTAGCGCTCTGGTCTTGAGCCACTGAGCCCTCGCTTGTACGTGCGCTTGTGTCAAGCACAGCATGCCCAGTGCTGACCATGCGCCGGTGGCCGAGTTGTAGACGTAGCACGAGTGGCCTGTAGTGGCTTCCGAGTGCTGGATGCCCACCTTGAACATCGCCATCAGCCAGCATCGCGAAGTCAATAATACCTGTCTCTTCTTTGCCCTTCCACTGCAGCGCAGGTACTTCCGTCCACTCTTGGGTGAGTGGATTGCCGACCACCAAGTGGAGAACATCAGAATCTATACCTCGGATGCATACAAGGCCGCCGGCGGAAGCCACAACGTCACCATGGCGTAGTCGAAGCTCCCGCCTGTGGCCCGACGACAAAGGAGTTCCGAAGATGTAGCATCCCTCGCTGTGGATGGAGCTTGTCATGATCAGGGGGGCCTCTTTGACACCAGCGTTGCGGCACCATAGTTGGCGAAAAGATGGCGAGCTGATGAATTCGATAGTGTGGCCAGGTCCACAAAGATGAGGATCCTATCAATCTCCATCATGAACCCTTTAATGAAAACCTATCACGAGAGTCTGATTTTATATGATCCATGATCAGTCCTATTTGCTCTTAATTAGCTCTAAACCTTAAGTCAGATGGATTTCATTGTTGTAGCTCGTTGAATTGTGATGCCTCCTCTGCATGCATTGGTGAGAAAGCTTTGAAGTTCGTCAGCTCTATCAGCATGGACTGAGAGTTGGATTTCTACACCGCTACTTTCATCGCCTTCGTCATAGCTTTCTTTAATGTTCTCGGCTCCGTGAATCTGAAGCTGGATTCATCGCCCATCAAGACATAGAAATAACACCAATGCTTACTAGAGGGCCAAGATGATCAAAGCCAAGCTTGAGAACCAGGGAGATCTACACACTCGATACAAGTCAGTGATCCCGTGTCCGTCAAGAGGAAGGGACTCGCATGCCTGCTCGAAGGTTTGGATCTGGAGCGCACCATCATGGTGGACGACCTCTGGCCGGGGAGGATCGGAACTTCATGCAGGTGGTTCGCGGCGGGGCCGACAAGAACTTCCGGCACTAGGAGATCGTTATGGAGAACAGGATCGTGAGGATGCTGGGCATGATCTTGTGGGCGATCCATCTCTCCAGAGTTACGGAGTGGACGCTGACGGAGGCTTTGAGCGCCATGCAGTGGTATGGTGGCAGCACTCGAACTCGTCTATGAACTTGGATTGAGGGCGATGAAGAGCATCAATCCGGGGAGCATGGCGCCCTGGACGTTTCCATTCGCCGAGTTTGTGCGAGACGAGAAGAACATGTTTGAGTAGGAGCAAATCCACAGGATCGTGGAAAAGCTGCCGAGGAACGCCGAAGGGGTGGAAGATCTTGTGGTGCCAAGCAAGGACTTTAGCTTTGATTTCGAAGTCTTAAAGTTTCGAGTAAAGTTTCTTCTTCTATTATGATCGATCATTCGTCGTCGTCGTCGTCGTCGTCCATAAACATGGACGCCATTCTCATCGCGATCTGGGAGGCGATCTCTCGCCGCTGTGCGTCCGGCATCATACTGAGATTCTCTCGCATACCCGCCATCTCCTGCATCAGCTGCTCAAACTCGTCCATTCTATACGCTTCGCTGCCATTGCCGGAGCTTCGAACTTGCGAAGCTTCGTGTCCATTGCTATGCCCGACTTCTTCTTCTCCATCGCCGTGAGCTACTCCACCACCATCGTCTCCAGCTAGTGTTGTTTCTGAAGCACCGCTGGCTCCTCCAGCAAGTTCTTCGCTCGCATCGGCAGTAGCTTCTTGTCCTGTCACTGAAGCTGCTTCAAGGACACTGCTATCGGTCGCTTGATCCTCGAGGTGGTGGCTTTCGCTCTCAGCGGCAAAGGCTTCGTCGTCTGATACACTCGAGAGAAGCTCGTACTCGATGGTAAAGTCGGACTCCTCGTCGCTCGAAGGATCTACGCCAATACAAGATCGTGCTCGTGACGGTATTTTGGAGATTTCTTTCTCACCTCCTTGTGTGCAAGCTTGAGCTTCACTGATCGCTTTGCTGGGAGTTGGCTTCATCACCATCCCCGGCCACATGTGAGCCGACAGTGCTCCTCGAATGCGGGACACACCTTGCAAATCTCCATCCAATGACAAACCTGAGAAGGAAAAGCGTAAAGCTAGAAAAGCGATAGAAGGAAGCAGTACTTACAGTCGTCAAAGGCAACGTCCAGTGCACACGCCTCAATGTACTCGATGCCATTCTCGATGCACCACTCGATCCTGCTATGCTTCTTCTCGTCAACTGGGGGAGCTGGTCCTGCGAGCTCGACCTCTTCGTCGTCAAGCAACGAGCTCCCTTCGTTCCTTTGTATCCCGAAATCCAGAAACTCGGGATGAGGATCACTGGACGACTCTCCAAGCCTTTGTAGCCTCCGGCGGTACTCGACGTGGCCATAGTGTTGCGGCAAACGGTCGGCTTTGTTTCCAACGCAAAGGAGTATCTCAAACCCGGTCAAGTCTGCTCTGGACGCCCAGTTCTTTAGTCGATCAAACGAAGAATCCTATAAACACAATACAAGTTCGATAAGACGGAGAAGAAAAGAAATGCGCTTACGTTGCTAAGATCAAAAACCATGACGAGCGCTTCGCACTGTCCACTCAGAGATTCCAGTCTCTTCACAACCTCGTCAGTTTGTTCTTGCTCCAGCCGAGCCGTCCAGATTCCTACATTTGCAGTGTAGTACTTGGTGTCGATTTTCCAGCTTTTACGCGAAGAAAAATCATGTAAATCTCGGCGCTAGTGCGATCTAACAGCGTACCCATAGCATGTGATCGCTCCTGACGATGCGTCAATTACCTCGCGATCGCGCCTCAACCCTGAATTGCCGCCGAGCTTAGATCGGACACAAGAACTAGAAATCTCATGCGATTACTCACGATTCGCGATCGTCGTCTTGCCCACGCCCGCCGCGCCAACGCAGAGAATGCTGGGCCTCGATTCGGGATGAAGATCCTCGACGCGCGCTCCTCCTTGCTCCTCGCATTGCTCGAGCTCCATACCCATAGCTTCAGCTATGCCCTAATAGACGAGACGATGAAAAAGAAGGGCCATCATGTTAAAACAGGGCTTTTACACTGTTTATATTATTCTTTCTTTGTATCGTCCACGGGCGGAGATTCTCCCTCTTTGCTTCCTTCCTGGAAATCCAGAGAGATCACGAATTTTTCTTCCCGGCGAATGAATCAAACCTTTCTCATCGATGGAATGGGGCACTGCGCCGGCGCTCGAGCTGGCGGCTTATAATCCTGCCTAAAAACGCGATAGAATTTGGCCTGGAAGCACAGAATGGGAGACGAAGTCGTCGAGAATTCCTCGCGAGAAATCGAGCATACCATGAAGAAATCGAAGAGACGAGGGAGAATGTTGACTAGAGGGAGAAGGAAGATCGGCAGCAAGCACGCGATACACACCTGGAAATCAAAAGAGATCAATGCTATGATCAATCGAAACGCGCGCACTCACCATCGCGAAGAGCCCTAGAACACAGATGTGGAATTTAGGGCAAATTTAAAGGACTACTTTCGCACCTTGCCGAATATGCTATTTTACTTAGGTCGGGCAGTGAAAGTGAGAGAGAATGGCGAGCACGGAAGAGGGGAAGGAGAGGGAATTGGAGCCTCTGATCGTGGAATCGGTGAGCAGCAGCAGGAGCGATGAGATCCTAGAGCCACTGCGAGCTCCGCCGGTGCTGGAGGCGATGGCGGCACCGAAATCCCTGAGCGACGACGAGGAGCAAGGGCTTGGCTGCGCGCCAAGCTGTAGAATTTGCCTCGAGTGCGACTCTGGAGAGCCCGGTAAGTCTTTGCTAGAATCGATCTTTCTTCCGTGCTAAGTAAGAAAATTCTTCTTTGGTTTTTTACCCTTGATGCGTTCCAGGCGATGAATTGATCTCTCCTTGTATGTGCAAGGGGACTCAACAGTTCGTCCATCGATCATGCCTCGATCACTGGCGCTCGGTCAAGGTAAGAACTCTTCCTAGCACATTTTTTTCTTCTAAAACACCGAATGAAACAGTGGTTTTCTTTGTTTTTCGCAGGAAGGCTTTGCTTTCTCGCATTGCACGACTTGTAAAGCTCAGTTCCATCTAGTTCCCGAGATCCCAGAGGACTACTCGTGGAGAAAGCTAAAGTTCAAGCTGTTCGTCGCGCGGGACGTTTTTCTCGTTTTCCTAGCCGTTCAATCTGTGAGTGAAAGAAGAAGATCTCTCACACATTTCGTGCTAAAACTTTTTCTCTTGATTCATACCAGACGGTTGCTTTCCTCGGAGCTCTTGCGTATCTCATGGACTCCGACGGCCAGTTTCGCAAATCTTTCAACGTTGGCTGGGACAAGATCTTGTCACAGCACCCGGTAGCGTTTTACTACTGCCTAGGTACTCGGTAGTTTCGATTCACCATGAGCTTCATCATCTTTGATTTTTCATCGATGCTCTTTGCTGTTATCCACAGGCGTCGTGGTCTTCTTTGTGATCGTGGGAGTCGGTGGACTCATCGTCCACTGCTCGTCGGCAAGCCACCACGATTCGTTTCTAGCGGACTGTCGCTACTGCTCAGGATGCTACATCATGGATTGCTTCCCAGCTTCCATGGAAGCTTGCGGTGCGTTTTTGGTGATCTTCGTGATCCTGTTCGTGATCCTGGGGGTGGCTTACGGCCTCCTCGCTGCTACCATGGCAATCCAAAGAATCTGGCAGCGGCATTACCATATCCTGACAAAGCGAGAGCTTACCAAGGTAGAGTTTGATCTCTCGTGATCTTATAGAAGGATGATCGATGGGTTGATTGATTTTCCAGGAGTACATTGTAGCGGATTTGCACGGGGAGTACGTTCCTCCGCAGTTAAGCGCCGAGGACGAGGAGAGATTGAGAAGCTTGAAACTCTTATGACCAAAGCTTAAAACCTTGGACTGGATTTGTTTGATCGATGGATTTATAAACAGTGGTGGTAAATATTTACGTGTCTAAAGTATAGACAAGAGGAAGCTCTCTCCTTCTATTCTATCTCTCGCGAGCTTACTCTTTCTCGTGTTCTTGGCGCACGGCTTTACATCGCCCAAAATCGCCGAGAATCCTCCACTCCACTGCTATCCTCGCTCATGATCGCCCCGGATCTTCACTGCGATTTGGCGGACAATCTCTTGAGAAGCTCGTAGCTGGTGATCATGGCGGTGGCCGAGAGCGTCATGCTCGCCCATCTCGGCCCCAATCCCTTGTAGCACGCCCTCCATCCTCCCTCGGACACTAGATCTCGCAGAGTGGTACCAAATCGCGGAGGCCTCCCACTCTCGAGCACTTGCATTCTCGTCTTGATCGTATCCAGCGGCGTCGTCACCAGCGCCGAGACCCCGCCCGCCATCGCCGCGCTGGCGGCTTGCATGCCCAGTACCACACCACCGCTCACATCCTCGCGGCGATCGCCCAGGTCCGTGACCGCCGCCGCGCCCTTCCACATGAATCGCTGCGCGATCGAGTAGGATCCCCACCACACGGCATTGGATGGCGCGTACGTGATGATCGACACCCCAAATCCCCGGTAGAGCCCCCGGATGCCACTGTTCCTGGCGATGGTGGCGAGCGCGTCCATGGCGCCCTTGTAGTTCGTCGCGATCGCCGCCCCCTGGCCGGCGCCCTGGACCATGAGGCGCTGGCTGATCACATCCACTGGCGTCCACACCAGCTGGGCCGCCATAGCCGCGCTCATGCCCGCCACAGCGTTGGCGGCCGCCGCCGCCGCCGGCGATCGATCCGCCAGAGACCCCAGCGCGCTCTTGGTGATCTCGAGCGTGCTCATGTAGATCGCGCGAGCTGGGATGGTGCCCATGAGCGATGCGCCGAAACCCTTGTAGAGCCCGAGAATTCCCTGCCTTCTCAGAATCCCTGCCGCGATCGAGGAGGACGACGAGGAGGCCGCCGCCGGGCCGATCACCTGTTGCTGCGTCTTGAGAACCATGGATGGATAGAGCATGCCATTGACGCCCGAGAAGAGGGCGGCGCCAAGAACAAAGAACTTGGTCTTGTCCAGCATCTCCCAATTCACCTCCGCGGGGAGCCGGATCTCGTGCTTCCCCACCCGCGCCTCCAGCTCCATCGATCGATTGATGGAATGAATGGATCGCTCAAGAACAAGAAGAAGAGGAGCGCGAGAGAGAAGGAAAAGTGCTGCCCAAGGGAGGAGATTTAAAGAGGGAGTACACACAGCTTACAGGATAAGGAATCTGGGGCGTATAGAGGAAATATGCCCCTGGAATCTCTCATGTGACAGAATATTCCAGTGATCTCCTGCTTTACTTTGAAGAAAAAGAAGGATAAGCTTTGGCGGCTGGCTGGCCGTCAGTCGTGGAATTCGCAGACACGCGAGTTTGTCCTCGCCAAGATTGTGGGGCTTTCTCTTTATTAAAAAGCGATGATATCTTGCGGATCGAGATCGTCCACGTGGCCGACGTGATGTCGACATGATTGTCTCCAGGTGGTGCTATCTCATTAGCATAGAAATGTGGGTAGACCCAAAACGGAGATTTAGGGAGGTTTTTTGACTCGGGCATCTTGTCCAGGCGGTATGAGATTCCGGCATCTCAAGCTTGGCAACTTTAGAGCTGCCAGCATACGTCACAAAAACGCCTTCTCGTGGAACATCATGCCAAACGGGGATTTTGCAAAATGCGAGGAAATGCTGTGATCAAACCACCGTGGGAAGAATCTAGTGTTTGATCAAAGCATCTCCTCGCATCTCCAGAAGATGCAGTAATCAAACCATCCTATCTACTGCTGGTGTAGAGCTAAAAGGAGTGCAGGCTCAAAGATGGCAAGCAGCTCAATAAGCAAAGCCTTGGCTTTTGAGAATAGAGCAAGGGTGCTTGAAGCTGGAATTTGAATTTTGGATCTGGATGTGGGGGGAAATCTGGAGAGAGTGACTTTGATCAGTAAATATACTGGTTTTTGGCCTTTTTTCTGGTCAAATACTAGTAATTTTAAGATGTTCTTGTCAATTGCAATGTTTTTTTTAATCATAAACTTGTCATGGCGACTAGTAAATTTTAAATACTCTGGTAGCTACTAAAGAAAATTATACACGTATATTTATTTTTATATTGAATTGTCAAGACAGGCCGTGATCCTTCGCATCCCACAAGCGCTCCAGTGGTGTCATATATAAACCGTAACAATGATTATTCTTACATTATGCTAGTATATTCTCTTCTGTTTAACATGTTTGTTATGTTTAGTTAATAATGTAATGTCGTTGTAGTATAATGGCAGTATCCCCGCCTGTCACGCGGATGACCCGGGTTCGATCCCCGGCAACGGCGATATTTTAAAGGTTTCTTAAAGGTGGGGGCCCTTTATTCTTATACTCTTGTTTCTTCCACCACTTGCACTACTGCGAAGTCTTGATCGTCAGCTCCATGCATCTCGATCTCCAGGATTCTATGCACCGGCGATGCCACCACCACCGTCTCACTCACTTCTTCTTGGGCCGGGCTGATGATCTCGTCCAGCAAGTTATCGTCTTTGAGCTCCTCCTCGCAGCAGCGCTCCTCCTGTTTGATCCTCGCCTGCCGAACGTTTGATCTTGCTCCGTGGTGCCAGTGCCTCACGCCCTTGTTGATGCGTTTCGTGAAGATGGCCTTGCTATAGTGCGATCCCATCTGTGCGAGGAACTACTCTCGAGTGTGATAAACGTTGGATCTTTACCTGAGTGACGAGAACGTAGAGTGGGAGAGTGCTGTAGCTGCACAGGAACTGCACGGCTGCTCTGCATGGAGAAAGTTTCTAAGATTTTACTACGAAGGGTGAAAAAACGAGATTTTTTTACCCGACAAAGAGACGAACCACGATGAATGCTATGCTGTCCATGAAACAAGTATCAAACCCGAACGTAGCCTGCAAAGCTGCTCACTCTTTTCTTTGTCCACACTTTTTTCTTTTCACAAAACAATCGGAAAGTCATGCTTACCCAAACCCAGAAGAAAAACGCGAGCTCAAACGCATTCTACAAAGGAAACTTTAGCTCGATTGATGGATCTGAAAACTCATTACCTGGAAGAGAGTGAAGTGAATGAGGTGGAGAAGAAAGCGCGGGCGTTTGAACCAGAACAAATCGTCCCGGGGTTTGATCGCCGGGACTTCTTCACTCTCTCGTCCAGCTTTGTCCTCCACCTCCGCTATCTCGCAGGCGAGCTCGGTGATTATGTACTGGAGCTTCGTGCCAATCACGAGTATGAGCTTATATAGGAATTCACGCAAGACCATGGTAAGAACACAGACACAAAGAAAAAAAAAACTTTACCACTAGTGGTAGAAAGGCCATCCAAAAGTACGTATGCCATCCTGCCAAACAACAAGGAAAACTATGATCTTAGCGTTAAAACCTTGATAGTTACCATGCACATTCATAAGAAGAAACATGATCACGAATGCCCAAAGGTAGGCGCTGCAAAGTTTTTATAAGTCGAGTGAGCTGACACTCTAGTATAAGATCTATGGAAGACCATAAAAAACACTTGCCTGATCCCCACCACGACTTTAAAATCGTCCTCCAGCACTCGCGTGATGTATCCATGGAAATCAAACTCCCTCCTCAAGTTATAATTCTGCGATCAAATCGAATCAATCAACATCGATGGACGACTTTATATGAGACACTTACGCGCACGAATCCTCTTCGGAGTGTCATGTAATCGGCTCTCGTCACGGGCTTGCACAGTAAATGCCTCAAGAACGATGCCTGGTGACAAAGTTTTGTAACTTCATGTTTAGAGCTTCACTTGAGCGTTTGCGGGGCTTACGATCCAGTTGAATGCATTTAATCTACTCCAAGGCTGTCTAGCGTGCGTCTGGACAAAAGTTTTTTGCCGTAGCTTGCTATAAGTCGCCTTCATTGCTTATAGAGAGACCAGACCTCTTGTAAGTTCTCGAAAAAAAATGAAAGCAAAAGAATCCACAAACATACCTCCTTTGTTTACTACACGAACTTCATCTTCCCAGCGCCTCCACCAGTAGACCTGTTTTTAAGAAAACAAACTCTCGATAGCGCAAGAGAACCAATACTTACAACGATGTTACCATTATCCTGCCCAGAAACATGGTCAAGCAGCTGTAGCAAAGATGAACGATCGCCATCACGAAGATAAAAATGTGTAGCTGATGCAAGCCCTCGACCGAGATCATTGGAACTTCGCCCTATAGAACGAACGAAAACAAGAGAAGGATATACAAGAGCTACAGAGTCAAAAGCTTTACCCTGGCGATACATTTCTTGTCAGCTCCTTCTCGACTAAACCAGCCAAGTAGCGCCCTCCGGTCGTGAAAACTCCCATTTGTATGAGAAGGGTTCTCTGCTAAACCCTCTTGGAATCGAAAAAGAAACCACAGTTATGTTACCTTTGAGCATGGAACTCTCTTCCAATTTACATGGCAGCATATGTTTGAGAAGGCTTCTAGGAATGCATAGCTCGGAAACCAAAGGTTGAAAGACACTCAAGAGAAGAGATATAAATCCCATAAGCATCAGTTCTGAGCACACAAAGTGTTCAAATATAAACTCACTCGGCTTTAGAAGAAAGAAAACACCATACCTTCTTTCATCTTCTCGAGAGCTTGACTTAGAGGCTTTTGGTTCTTCTTCTTCAATCTCTACATGGATCACACAACCTGATCAATCAATCCAGTGACAAAAAATCACCAGCTACAAACCTTTCCACACTGGTGAATTCCCCTCTCGAGCAGCAGCGAGAGGAGAACGAAGACTGTGCACACTCCAGCGACAGCCCAAGTTGGAGTTTGCTCCAGAGAACTATGCTCCAAAAAACCACCACCTCCGTGCTCCATTTCTTCTCTCCCGAGCGCTCGTGGATTAAATTCTATCTCTTGACCCCATCCTCTTTATTGTTTGTAAGCTCCTTGCCATGCCACATTCCATGAGATCCTTGCGGGAGTTCTCACCAAGATCATGTGACACTCCAAAGCTAAAAGTCTGTGAAGTACAATACGTACGCTAAGCTAACTCTTATTACTTGTAGTAGAAAGAACCATAGCTCTAAGAAATATTTGACGATCATATAATAACACCCTTTATACTGGACATCACGCAAACTCTTTCGTTTTACTCGCCACTGGGGAGGAGCCTGCTGTTTCTGGGGGCCACGTCCACCACGGCCGTGGATCGAGACGAGCCCGACGCGGACTTGAAGAGCTTGGAGGTGGCTGGCGGGATGATCCGCGATGGCGAGAGAACTTGCGTGAGTGACGAGAAGTAGGACTCGGTTCCCAGCCGGTTTTGGAGCCAGCCTCGGCTGCCATCGAATCCGTCGAGGACGGTCCATGTGCTCTTGAAGCCCAGGCCGGACAGCGATTTCGCGACGACTTTGGAGATGTTGCCAGTGCTGCCAAACAATGCGTGAGATGTGAATGAAGCTATCATGAAAAGATGGAAGGAGTGTTCGTTCTTACGAGTCTAGGATGACCAGGTTTGTCCCTTTGTTAACTCTCTTGAGCGCCGAGATCTTGATGGCGCCTAGCTCGGCCTCCACTGTGCGTGGATTGCGAAGTTGCGATCGGATATTGCTAGGGAGCTCCTCGATCCTGGAGTGAAAAACAAAAGACAAGTTCTTAGAGAGACGCAGATCGAGCTAAAAAGCTTTTGACGCTCACGGTATTGCTGTGAAGTTCCTCTTGGCCTTGTTCGGCAGGCTTGGTGTTCCAGACTTGGACTTCTCTTTCTCCGATCGAACGTCAATGAGGAAATAGTTGCTGTTCGAAATGTAATCAAGCGCCTGTGGAGCCGTCAGGTCACCTGTGGCATTTCCATGCAAGTAAGAAAAATCAGCCAACTAGTCCAGAGTCGAGGCTATGTATACCTTTGTAACCTCTAGCGGCTATTCCGAGACTCGAGAGGATTCCCGGAGCAAGCAAAAAAAGCAACACAGCCGCTCCTAGCTCACCAGCAAGGATCACAGGATCAGACGCTAGGAGCGAGCTCAAAGTTGTCGACACAACAGGTGTCGCTCCTTCGATCAGCGAGCCTGTTTGCTGGGCTGCTTGTCCAGCAACCGTGACCGCAGTCTGATCGAAAAAAGAAGAAACAGAAATGTAACTCCACGAGGAAAACTTAATGGCATTGCTAACCTGTCCAGCCTCCAGCACCGGCTTTGTATTCACACCAACGCTCTCGAGCGCTTTGATGGCCTCGGACGCAACGCTGGAAGCCACCGGCGCGGCAGCCTTGATCGCTATATCAGAAGTTTTCTGGACGATTGGAAGCGCGATGTCCACAAGAGGCTTGACGAACTGATAAGCTTGCTTTAGAGCTCCAGACACTACAGTGTACGTGGATCCAGCGGTGGAAGTCACAGTGCTCGCAAACTCTTGTACCTGAAGAGAAAAAAGTGAGTAAGTTCGAGCAAAGGAGAAGAGAAAAAAAAGAGAGTTAAGTTCGAGCAAAGGAGAAGAGAAAAAAAAGAGAGTTAAGTTCGAGCGAAGGAGAGTTTCTTTCTTTGCTCTACTCTCTTTTGCTCTAGTTGAGAGTCGAACTCAAGACCTCCCGCTTACTAAACGGGTGCTCTAACCATCTGAGCTACTGGAGCAAGAACGAGGGAAGAGAAATCCAAAATCTTCGCAAAGAAATCGATCGATTACCTTGTTAAACGTCCCAGCCACATCCTCCGCAGTCACGGCGTACGCTGATCCCTGCGCGGCAGTGTAGATTACCAGAGGCGCGGCTGCGATCTTGGCTCCCGTCGCCAATGCCGCCGATTTCTTGGACGATCCCTTCTCCAATCCGGCCCGGGCGCACAGCCGCTGCGCGCGAATGTAGCGCGCTGGATCGCGGTCGTGCGCGCGTCGCCTGTCGAGGAGGAGCGCCTGGGATCCCAGCTGCTGGGTTGCCATGGCCGCGAGCGCTGGGAGCCACAAATTGCCCCATCGTCTGTGAAGAAAACGCCCTTACAAACGAAAGCTTCCTTATCCACATTAGATTTAATTTTTCTTTCTTCTTTCAGGACAGTCCTAGCTTCTGCGCGACAATCTTCTTCATCAAAATTGGATTGACCCTTCCATTTGTGGATCTCATCACCTGATCCAGCAAACATCAAAGGAAGAACAGATTTTTCTTGGAAAAATCTTACCTGGCCTTCGAAGAATCCTTGGAGTTTAGTTTTTCCTTTCTTGAAAGCTTCTAATTGCTTTGGATTCTCCAGTAGCACCTTGTCAACCAGGGAAGCTATCTCCGCTTCGTCGGAAATCTGCGAGAATTATAGAAGAAGCTCAAGTTTTTACGAGGAAATGTGAAGGAAAGCTTGTCACCTGGGTGAGACCCTTGGCTTCAATCACTTCTTTCGCAGTGCCACCGTTTCTTATCAACTCGGGAAGAATCTGGAGAGCGAGCACAAAAAAATCTTATTAGTGAGTGGAAGTGGCTCACGTACTACATACCTCTTTGCCGATTTTCCCACTGATCGTTCCGTCCTTGATGAGAGTAACGAGCTCCGCCAGTACGCTTGGAGAGATTTTTACGTCGGAAATCGAAAGCTTCTCCGTCTTGAGATAGGCAGTGATGTCTCCCATTATCCAGTTAGCAGCCATTTTCATGTCAGCACCTTGCTCCAACGTACTATCAAAGTATTCCGACACCTGCGAGAAGGAAAAGCAACGATCACTTCGCCGTAAAAGAGAGAAACGAAAGAACTTACATTCTTGTCGTCAGCCAGCACAAGAACATCCTGCATGCTGAGGCCCAAGGCCTCGTATCGCCGACGAGTTTCATTCGGAAGCTCTGGCAGAGCTTCGTTGATTGAGTCAACTTGCTCCTGCTTCAATACAAGCTCGAGAAGATCTGGCTCTGGAAAGTAGCGGTAATCTGCAAGACCCTCCTTCGCACGCATAGTGACAGTTCTCTATCACACACGAAAATCTCAATTAGCTCGATCGTCAAAGACCAGAAGTGCCAATGTGCCTGACTTCCTTCCTCCCACAGTCTAGTCTCTTGCACGATCTTCGACTCCAGACCCTCCTTGTGAAGAGCAACTTGCCGCAAAATCTCGAAGTCTATAGCCCGATGCATCGCGGCACACGAGTTCATGTTCTTGATTTCCACCTGTCAAGAAACTACAACTAGCCATCAAAACTTCCACTCAAACACCAAACAACGAGGCGATATCAAACCTTGGTGCCAAAGGCTGCCTGGCCTCTGGGTCTCACAGAAACATTCACATCACAGCGAAGCGATCCCTCGGCCATGCTTCCACTTCCAATGCCGAGACACTTTACCACTCTTGCCACCTCCGCCGCGTACTCGGCAGCTTCAATGCCGGTTCTCATGTCCGGCTCCGAGACAATCTCCAGTAAAGGAACTCCAGCCCTGTTTAAATCCACCTACAAACACATACTCTTCTCACAAACACGAGCAAAGAAAAAAAAAACAAGAGAAGAAAAACGTTACCAGCGAGTATGGCGAGCCGGATAGTCTTCCACCACCACCAGCATGAACAAGCTTTCCAGCGTCCTCCTCTATATGAACTCTAGTGATTCCAAACTTACGATGCCCACCACCGTATTCCACTGGCAAATCCACTTCGATGCTTCCATGCCTGGCGATCGGGATATCAAACTGGGAGATCTGATATCCTTTGGGAAGATCCGCGTAGAAGTACTGCTTCCGATCGAATTTCGACCGCAGCGAGAGATCGCAGTTGAGCGCCAGGCCGAGCTTGATGGCGAAATCCACGACCCTCTCGTTGAGAACCGGGAGAGCTCCTGGCAGCCCCATACACACCGGGCACACATTGGAATTCGGCTGCGCGCCATACTGCGAGAGGCATCCACAGAAGGCCTTGGTGGCCGTGCCGAGCTGGACGTGCGTCTCCACACCGATCACAGCCTCGAAATCTTGCAATGCCAAGGGGATTTTGCTACTGCTGCTTGTCTGTTTGCTCGCAAGGGACGATGAGCATCGGATTTGGAGAGCTGACCTCGGGATTCTTGGCTGGGAATAGAGAAGAACGATGGATTCGCAGCTCCCCACGGCCATCGCCATTGCCATCGCCATGCCCCTGTTTTAGGGCACGCAAAAATTTGAGGGAACCCCTCGGATATTCTTAAGCCTGCCACGTGGTGCGCTCGGATATTTTACGCCCTATCGCCGCCAGGGTTAGGGCATTTTTAGAGAGAGAAGAGAAGTTTCGAGAGAGGAGAGCGACGAGGAGAGAGTGATTTGGAAGTTTTGAGTGATGAAAGAGAGAGTGATTTGGAAGTTTTGAGTGATGAAAGTGTTATGGAGTTTGTTTTTGGATTTCTAGAGTTTTTATGCTTCAGTGATTTTAAGAGTGAGAGAAGTGTTGGTAGAAATGTTTAGTGTGAAAAAATATTTATTTTCTAAAATCACTCTTTTGGATGATTTTTCTTCAGATCACACACGAATGGAGATGGCACATTATTTCATAAGCATTTTAACCAAAATTTCAAGCCCTAGGGCACTAAAGGTTGTTCTTCAATTTCTTTTGCAACTCTTGTCTATACTAAATCTAGATCTTATTGAACTGGATAGCTATTGGTTGCAAAAGTCAACTGCCGGTATAGATGTAGATACCTTCTTCTTCTTGGATTTGGAATCGGCTATACTGGCAGTTGACCTCTATAACCATGCCCAGCTAATGGCTGTTCAGTTTAACAAGTATTGGATTTAACTCTTTGGGCATATACAAGAGTTAGAAGGCAAATAAAGAAATTGAAAAGCAACCTCTGGTGTCCTAGGGTTTGAAGCCTTAGTTAAAATACTCGTAAGATAATGTGTCATCTCTATTCGTGCGTGATCTGGGGGATAATTATCCAAAAGAGCGATTTCAAAAAACAAAGATTCTTTCACACTAAACATTCCTACCAACACTTTTTTCACACTCTTGAAATCACTAAAGCATAGAAATTCCAGAGATCCAAAAACACACTTCACAACATTATCATCGCAAAATCCATAACCCTCTTGTTGAGAACCAGGAGAACTCCTAGCAGCCCCATACATACCAGGCACACATTGGAATTTGGATATGCACCATATTGCAAGAGGCATCCACAAAAGACTTTGGTGGCCATGTCGAGCTGGACATGTGTCTCCACACCTATCACACCCTCGAAATCTTGCAATGCCGAGGGGATTTTGCTACTGCTGCTTGCCTATTTGCTTGCCAAGGACGACAATTTGGAGAGCTAACCTTGGCATTCTTGGCTGGGAATGGAGAAGAATGACGGATTCGCAGCTCCTTATGGCCATCGCCATTGCCATCGCCATGCCTTGTTCTAGGGCACACAAAAATTTGAGGGACCTGGATATTCTTACGCCTGCCATGCAGCACACTTGGATATTTTTACGCCCTATCGCCACTAGAGTTATGACATTTTTAGAGAGAGAAGAGAAGTTTCGAAAGAGGAGAACGATGAAGAGAGCGATGGAAGTTTTGAGTGATAAAAGTGTTGTGGAGTGTGTTTTTGGATTTCCAGAGTTTTTATACTTTAGTGATTTCAAGAGTTTGAGAGAAGTGTTAGTAAGAATGTTTAATATGAAAGAATCTCTATTTACTGAGATCACTCATTTGGATGATTCTCTTTTAAAGCACGCACAAATGGAAATGGCATACCATCTCACAAACATTTTAACTAAAGTTTCAAGCCCCAAGGCGCCAAAAGTTGCTTTTTAATTTCTTTCCTTATCTCTTTCTTTGTTTATCTTCTAAATTCGGCAGCTCTTGTCTATGCTTGAAGAGATATGTCAGTGTGGGTGCCGAGCCCAATGGGCCTATGGGAATCTAGTGTGGACTTTGGGGGTAGTAGATCTTGACCTACTACATTGGTGAGTCATTCTCTTTGTCTAATGCTTCAGATTGTCATTTGTTTCACAAATATCACCGAGCTTGGAATGCTCAAATACAAGGCAACATACACTTATGAGCAGTTCAAGAATCCACTGAGCTACAGTCTCACGCGAGATGTGTTCTTGGTCTCTGCTGCTGAGGGACTTGTGGATCGTCCTCCTACCCTTCTTGGGCCATTTGTGACCCGTGGTGATCGTGCAGCTGCTGCTGCCTTTGCCGCTGCTGCCGAGGCCGAGGTCGAAGTCGAGGAACGCCCTGCCGGCGCTGAGGCCGAGGAAGAACTCGAGGAAATGGAGGAGGAACTCTAGAAACTTCCGCTAGAACGATGTTTGTCAAAATTTTGATCGAAATCCCAATGCAGCTCACGCCTCGCGAGGCCAAGTCCAAATCCTAGAAAGTAGCAGGAAGAAGGTATCTGCATCCTACCTCGCTGGGATCCACCAACGATCTTGGCGTGGCGATACTTGGCTGGAAGGAAAAATAAGAACACCGCAATATCCAAAGAGCCCTGATCAACGCATTGGGAGAACAGGTTGGAAATCTCCGCGAATTCCTCGGCATCCCGGCGAGGGAAGAACCCCGAAGGATCTGGATTCTCCAAGGCAAGTCCAGGATCACGGTGGAGAGACGATCGATCATACTTCTCTGCTTCTAGCTGAGAATCGTCGTTGCAAGATGCAGTAGCAAGATCTTGCAGCTGATGGATATAAGACAGTGCCTCCCTTCCAAAAACTAGCATGGTGCCCTCCGAGTTTCGAGTGGAAGAACACAGCACCGTAGGAAACTGAGCTACGTCTTCGTCAAGCTCAAGACGATTGTCCCAGCGTGGAACATCCGAGTCGTGCTTATATCGACAATGAGCACCATAGCGACATCCCTGCCATACAATCGCTTGAGAATAATGCGAGTTAAAAAGCTGACACTTACATCCCCGGACAAGAAAAACTTGCATACTGCTGAGTGTGAGAACTCACAGCCGTTTCCTTTAGCGCAAAAGCCTCTACGGAAGTACACGCACTGCACTTCCCCGTCCTCTTCTTTAGGAAAATGGATCGACTCGTAATTACTCTGCGGTTCTAAGTATCTTGCTTGAGTCTGAAACAGTGGATCGTAAGTGTTGGAAAACCAAAGCACGAGTTCAAACAAGTTACCTCCACAATGATCTTCAGCAAATCTGACTGGTTATTCTCATTGTGGAAGCTCCCATTTGAAACATACGGAAGTCCCAGGCACGACTCGTCGTCTTGGCTACGAAAGCAGAGGTGCTGGAAGGAGAAAGCCGTATAATAAGACCGATGCATAACTTCTAGCAGGCAACTAGCTGCCTCAAAAACAAAGCAAACATCAAGTTTGGTTCTAAAACTTGAAAGACTTACAGAGCTCAGCGACAGCGCTGAGTGAAAACAAAGAAAGGTGATGCTGTTTGCAGAATTCCTTCTCCGACTCCTCTCCATGAATGGTGACGATAGTTGAGGATAAAAATTCGTGGGATAGCTTTTGCCACCGCTGTGTGAGAAAGACAAGGAAAAGAAACAAACGAAGTCGTACCTTCAAGACGCACTGCCAGAATTCAAACGCGCAGAGGTTGCCAAGAAGAGCGGCTTGACGAGATTGCCTTTACACCATTTTGTGATTCCTGGAAGTACTGAAAAGAATAGTGTGCTGTAGCGCTGGCTCCGAGAGGCAGGATAATCGGACTCGGCGTAGTGTCTAGAATCGGGTACCTGAATGAGTGTGCTGTGATATCTTCTCGTTCTCAGCCCTCCATGAGAAGCATAGAAGCCTCCAAAGATAGTGGAAGAGACGCAAGTATTCGTCCGTATGGGGTCGGCAACTTCTTCCCTCCAGCATCGGGCTGTAGAGCGTTCAGTGCTTCAAGTGACTCCAAAGCATCATAAACAGTGTCTGGATGCGGTGGATTCAGGCATTTATCGAAGAATGCTGGAAAAACAAAACACAAAATTTCCGATTCACAAAACGAAGAGACGTACCCAAAGCATCATTCAAAGCTCGTGGTTCAGCACAAACAGTGACAGTACTTGCTTTCGTAGAGACAAGAGCTGCATTGCGGGAACCTCAAACTTGTTGAATGTCATGTACATTGTTCGCGGCACCATGCGAAAGACAGTACCATCGCAGGTACGCCCTGTGCGCCCCTTACGTTGTTCGGCCTACAGTTGAAAGGAGAAAGATACGGTGTCTGGCTGGAGGACAAAGACAACTTCTCACCTGTGAGCTCGACTCCCAGACAATCCGGGGAGCGTCTCTCTTCATTTTCGAGTTCCAAAACACTTCTAGGCAGCGGCATGAGTCGATGACGAACGATGCTCCCGGTATTGTAATTGAAGACTCGGCAACATCAGTCGCAAGAATCACCTGAAAGAAAAGAAGGATTCAGAAAAAACAAGACGGAGAATTGAGGAAAGAAAAGACCTTCCTCACTGAATGGTACGCCTCCATTGCTTCCAACGATTGGTCGACGTCAATGCTATTGTGGAGCACAAATATCTCCACGCCCGAGAGACCACTGCTCTTCCAAGGCACGATAAGTTGGGAGGAAGACCAGAATTCCCTTCTTGCGATCAGACTCATCTTTGTGGATGTGAGCGATCAGATCGAAAACCAGGTGCTGTATCTCCATCCCAATATCAGTCCCGTTCTTAAAGGGAGACGGGTTTTGCTCCAACAAGTTCATTACAGACACTTCCTTGTTTCCAAGTTGTTGCACGACCTGACAGAGGATGGTTAACAGAAAGATAAAAATAAACGCGAATGAAATAAAATATACAGAACCTGGTCGAGATACTTCACGCTGCACTGGAACAGATGTTGCTGGATCTTCGAGGCCAAGTTCGAGACAGCCACCTTCTCAACTGTTTCGCCAAGCTCGGCAAAATAGTTTTCATAGCGTTTAAAGTCAGCGGTGGCAGACATGAGCACCAGACTATGGCAGCAGCAATCACATTAGCAAGAGAAATCCAGAAACAAAAGAAGCCCACCGTGTGTTCTTGTTCCGAAAGAGCAAGATCTTGACGCAACAAAGAACCATATCTGACTCCACAGACCTCTCGTGGATTTCATCCAGTATGACCACCTTGTAGTGAGAAAGAGCAGCCACGCCTTTGGATTTGATCTCCTCTAGAAGAACACCGGAGCTGGAAAAATGCCGTGACTTAGGAATGGAAGAAAAGAACATCTAAGATCAAAAGAAAGAACCACAGAACTCCAAGAACTCGAGGAAAAAGTTCCCAAGAACTAAACATCAAGGAAAGACTAGAACTTTCGAAAAGCTCGAGCATTTACCTGGAACTTGTCCGATTCATCTGACCAATGTGAAATCCCGCTTCTTGTCCAAGTCTTCGGCCACCATTTTGGACACGGCGACCACGGCAAGCCTTCTCGGCTGCGTGCACAGAATGGGGGCGAACCCTTCCTCGATCAGCATTTGCGGGACCTGCGAGCTCTTTCCTAGACCCACATTCCCTTGCTAAGCTCCGAAAAGAGGGGAATCCGAGCAAAGAAGAGGCAAACCTGAGCCAGTCTCGGCGAGGATGATCGTGACCCTCTCCACCTTCTGGACGGTCGTCGCCTTGAGGCGCCGCCTGGATCGGAGTCCGCCATGTAGCGGGGGGGCAGGAAATCTTGCGAACTCCCCGTGTTTAGGGTGAAAAAAATGAAAGTGAATATTCCCGGCACCGCTAGTTTTGGTTTTAAAAGGAAACCTAAAGGTGAAATGACGACACTATAGGAATATTTCGGTGCCGGATAGGTATCTTAGCATCGACTAAAACTTTTTAGTGTATCTCCAATTGCTTGTGGGCAATCTCGCAGTCGGTACATTGGCATGGAAGCTTGTCCTCCCATTATCAATTCAGTTCTCACATCCTGTTTTGCTTCGACTTCCACCTTTGTTTCTGGGGCTGGCCTATTGTAATTTTGAGTGATCCGCTTGATCCACGGATGTTCCAAGATCTGGGCTGCCGTCAATCGTTTTTTCTTGTCCAGATTTAGCATCCCCAGCATCAAATCCTTGGCTAACACCGGAACCCTCGACCAGTCGAAGAGAACAAGGGGCAAATCTTCATAACTCGCTGAGAACCTGAGGTGTTTGAAACTCCTCATATGCAATCTTTCCCCAGAGCCCAAATATCACAAGATTCTTTCAACTTTTCCCCTGGGGGGACATACTCCATTCCCTCTGGAAACTCAGAAGATGACTTTGCTTGTGGAGGTTGAGAATGAAATGGAAGGACTTCCCAGCGGCTGCTCCAAAATCATGGTGCGGCATGTCCATCGAGCTGGAAAATGGACAAGTTCTTGATTCACTTGTAGCCACTAGCAATTTAATCTTGCGTTTAATAGCACTATATAAATCTTTCCATCTCGAGTTGCAGATAGTGAGCTCTCCAACGAGCTGGAAAGTGGGTAAGTTCTTGATTCACTCGTAAGTTCTCACACAGAGGCACACTGGCAATTTACAAATAAAAATCTTTACAAAAGCATAGCTCTTGCCATAGCTATATTGGATTTTGAAACTAATATCCATTGATAAAATAAAAAACAATGTCGATTTCTTAAATCACCCATTGGGGCACCCTATGAAGTCACATAACAAGTCCTTTTCTTGTGTTTTAATTTTTTATTCTATTTGTCATTGCCATTTGGTTTGTGTCAATGCTTATGAGCATATGGAGCGCAGGGTGTGGGCCAATCGGATGGGGAACGTGGCAGACCGACACCGTGCAGTCATGATGACCGTGACGGGGTCAGGGATGAAGTCATACCTCTTCACTCTATGCGCGTAAAAGCTATTAGTTAGATCATTTAGGTGTAGAACTAAAAAATAAAGGCAAGGTAATTAGAATAATAATTTTTTTTAAAAATCTGGTAGATTAGATTTAATCACATGTACTTATTACAACTATTTTTGTATTAACTAAAATTCTTTCTGAAGCATAGGTAATGATGAATGCTTAGTTATGTATGAAGATAACTAAAATAGTATGGGGCTAGTTTTTGCTGATATATATATATATATATATATATATATATATATATATATATGTAAAATAGTTTTTTAAATTAATGATATTCATTAGTTTATTATAAATATAAATTAAATGGATAAAAATATTCTACATATAAAAGATAATGAGTATTTAATGTGTGGATTTAATAGTTGAAATTTAATTGAAATAATTAATCACACAAAACTCTATATAAATATATAGTGGATAGCTATTTGAATTACAAATACAAAATAATATATCTATGAATTAAATAGATCACATAATGTATGTTTTAAAACAAACTATAAAATGGTCAAAAATGATAATGGTGTGTTTTTCAGTATATAATTGTCTGCACACAATTTTAATGTGGCTATCCAAAGTAGTTGTAGTAGTCATTATTTTTGTGTGATATTAATATTACAATTTTAAAATAAATTAGAATATTAATAATTATTTTAAAATAATGTATTAAAGAACCCTAAAAAGCTCAGAAAAAGATTTTTATGTTTTATTTTGTCATATTAAAAAATTAATTTATTAATCTTACATTTTACATAAAAAATACTTACAAAAATTCTTAGACATATATCTTGATAAACACTCTAATAGAACAAATAAATAATTATCAATAAATTTTAGAACAAATAATAATCAAAATAAATTAATTATAAAGAATTTTTATCCTTCTTTTTACCATTATTTTTGCTCTTCACTACTTTCTATTTGATTTACTATCTTACACAAGAGATGACTGTAAACATCTTGACGAAGCCTGTACTTCCTAGCAGTTTTCTCTCATCTAAGATGCAGCCACGTGGTAACACGTCTTCCATGTCGTCCCATCCATCGCTCGTCTTTGGTCATCGGCTACGCTGTCGAAGAAATCTTTGCTCAAGGAAGTGCTGGGCTGGGGTGCTGGCTAGTCTTGAGAGAGCTCACAGTGCAGATTTGGACGACAAGAGATAGTCAGCTATCCAAAGTTATAAGCATTTACAAACCCGAGAAGACCCAACGTTGCAACAGGCAGAATACTGGGGCTCACTCGCCATGGCCGCGTGTCCACATTAGATGTTTAATGCTTCTTTCTTCTTTCAGGGACAACCTTCTTCGTCAAAATTGGATTCACCCTTCCATTTGCGCTACATTCGCTCCCCGCGGCTGTGCGCTCGGGCCGAGAGATCGTCGAAGAAATCCAGTTTCGGTAAAACTCCAGTTGCGGTGGTTTGTGCAGGGGTCAAATCAATCCTTGACATTCCACGAACACTTGAATACCTGGTTAGCTACTCAACTGATGAATTTCCAGCATTTTTTACTCCTAACAGTGGCTGCAAAGCACCTTGCCGAGCAGACAGTGTGGAGGAATCCGCAGACATCATAGGTAAGGTCTAGCCATCCTGGTTTTCGATTCTAACTTGACACTGCAGAGGCAAACACGAAGTTTGGATTGGGTTCAGTCATTTTGATCGGGGTTCCAATACCCGCAGAGCATGCAGCAGCAGCTAAGAACGTGGAATCGACCATACAATCGGCATTGCATGAAGCAGAGTACGTCTCAGTGACCTCTCTTGCTATTCCTACGTGTTTTTTTCTTATAGGAGCAGAGGTATTGCTGTGACGCCATTCTTGCTCAAGCGCGTCAACGAGCTCACTGGAGCCGAGTCATTGGCTGCAAGTATCCTTTTGTTTGGTAGTCCTCCTTTGGTAGTTTTTCTTTGCTACAATTGACAGATATCCAGCTCGCGAAGAATAATGCACTCGTTGGTGCGAAGAATGCAACGGCTCTGACAACAAGGCTGAGTTGCTTCACTAAATCGTCTTGACACTCGGCCCTGATTGGTTACAAGTCTTCTGTTCTTGCCAGGACTTTCGATCGAGCAATGGGTGCTCTCAAAGTCATTGCATTGCTGTTGTTTGTTGGCCGAGCTTGCATTCTCTGCTCGTCTCCCACCAAAGTCCGATGTGTCTTTCTCTAAGAACTAGCAGCTTGTTCTCGACAAGGCTTCAGGTAACAATCCAAGACTCAACCTTCTGTTTCACTGATCAAGTCCTGTTGCATGATAGGTGCTGGATTTGGGTCCCGCAGCAAATACTTGTTCGGTCGTATCAGCATGAAGATCAAGCTGGTTCCTAATGACTCTGCTGGAACTGTGACGGCATTCTACATGTCCTTGGAGACCGACAAGCACGATGAGATTGACTTTGAGTTCTTGGGGAACGTTTCCATACATCGTCTAGACTAACGTTTTCGCCAATGGAGTTGGAAACCGGGAGCAGCAAACCTACCTCTTGTTCGACCACACTCAGGACTTCCACAGCTACTCCGTCCTCTGGAACAAGCAGCAGATCATGTAAGTTTTTTGCGAACACTCTTCGGTCATTGCTCAAACTGTGGTTTTGGTGCCTCAGGTTCTACGTTCCCTCTGCGTGTCCACGAGAACAACGTAGCCATGGGGATCCCATTCCCAAAGATCCAGCCAATGGGGATCTACTCGAGCCTGTGGAACGGAGACGACTGGGCTACAGATCAACTGGGACCACGCTCCATTCATGGCGGTGTACAAGGGATTCAGTGTGGATGCTTGCGCGGGGGGTGTGGAGTCGTGCAGCGCTCCCCTGGTGGGAGCAAGAGGTATTCCAGAGCATCAACGAGGAAACCAAAAGCAAGCTCGAGTGGGAGGACAACTACATGATATATGACTACTGCAGCGATAGCAAGAGATTTCCCACCACTCCAGCAGATTGTGGCCAGTTTTTCGAGCTTCCATTCTTAGTTTATTTTTTCATTTGCTTAGACCTAAATTTTTTAATAATGTCATATTATAAAACAATTATAATTAAATCGGGTAAAAATAATGCCAAACTTTAAAGGGATTAAATACTATTATTTGTAACAAAGTTTTTGGATAGCAATACCATAAACTGTTTGTAACTAACCATATATTGACAACCACATTATTACAATTTTTATAAATATCTTTAATTTTTGTTTTAAAACTTACATTATATAATTTTTTAGTTCACCAACAGATATAGTATATTTTCATATATAGTTTCGTGTGATTAGTTATTCCAATTAAATTCAACCATTAAATCTCTATAATAATTTATGAATATTACTAATTAATAAAAATTTATTTTACAAACATATATTTGTACCAATTAGAATTTATCACTTACCATCAGTAACTATGCTTCTTAATAAGATATAAAAGGATAATATAATAATAATAAGCTAGAATTTTAGTTAATATATAATTAATTATAATAAATACATATACTTAATCTACCCAATTTCTTTTTTATTTTTAATACCTTATACATATTTATTAAATAAATTCAATTTTCCCTTCTTCCATACTCCAGGTTGGCTATTTGTTCTATCACACTAAAGAGTTTACTTACAGTAACTTCTATGCTTAGATTCTATTACTCATATTTAAGCCAGTAGCTTTCAGAAGCTACTAAGAAGCTGATAAAATACCTTTAATTTTCTCAGAGTGAAGAAATATGATCAAAGTTCCATATGCTTGTAAACAATGGCATAAACCAAATGGCCTTGACTAATGGAAATAAAAGACAAAAGACAATAAAAAATAATCATATGACTTAGATAAGTAAGCCATAGGATAGGGTGCCTAAATGG